ACATCCTCTACATGTGCAAAAGCCCTGGGTATATTTTCAGTTTCACTGAACAGCAATGGTTTAATTGATTTTATTTTTAGTTCTTTTCAATTACCCTGCCTCTGTAAATAATTTTAAACATAAAATATGAATACATTCATTTAAAATGTAAAACTAGTACATGTGTATATGTATTTGATAAAATCTAAACAAATTCCGAAACAAGAGGACCATTGTGGCCCTCAATTGTTCACCTAGCTGGGATCTACTGCTAGAAAAAGTATCAATTCTTCAATGCAGAAGCGTATATTAAAATCACATTAGGCGTGTCATTTTTGACCCCAGCCATAATTTATCAAATATAAATGCATATAATAATTATAATACCAGAAAATTCTTAACATGCCAAATATGAACAACATAATTATAACCATAAAGGCGTTAGAAATGTTTGCTTTTTATGTAGTATAAAATTGGTCACTAAAAAGAGTTTAAGCAACTTGGTAAATCAGTCAGTTAAGACCTGCAAAACAGTACTTCCAGGTCACAGGTTCAAGTCCAGGTCAGGTGTAAAGTTGTCTTATCCTACACTGATAATGACTGTTTTTTTCCAGTCAGCACATTAATACAGCAAGGTCAGTGGTAGCGAAAATTCAGACCCTGATGCTGTTAATTGCAAATGCCGAAAGTAGTCCGCTTTATTGAAGCAGTTACTTCCCTTTATATGTACACTAATGCCGAAAAATAAATTCAGGGGAGATCACTGCGTAAAGATGGTCAAATGACAGGCCCATTAATTTTCAAGCAAAATAGTTCCCGAATGGTCGAAGATTTCTAATATTGTTTTATTCTTAATAGATATACATGCTTATAGTGGAAGCTCCATGATTATTTACATCTGTGTTAAAGTCGAAATAATAAGAGTTACAAACCCTAATTTAGAATAATATGGTTTTCTTCAGGCCGTTAACATATAACTTCACCATGGCCGAGGGGTTTCTGCGCTCGCTTAGGAAGCGAGAGGTCTGGAGTTCAAATCCCAGTTAAGGCAACTCTTTTTTTTTCAAATTGTTTAAGTCAAATAAACATTGAATTGAATATCAGTGTTGCAATTAGGCTTATAGCCAATTTACTACAATTAAAACGCTGGAAAGCATTGGTGGCACTATACAAAAACAAATTAGTTTATAATCTCACAACCTTCATCTTTCTGACATTCTGAAACCCAAACAAATTCAGCGCCTTCTGTGCTTTGATTTAACCAGTGTAGCCAGACTCTTGTTAACTGTTGCTTGTTCAATTTTATTACTATTATAATATTATAGTATCTTTATCTCACAATAGCCAGCTGGTGGCAAATGAATGTAAATTAAGACTCTGACAATAAAGTTTTTAATTTGAATTGTAAAACTAATGTTAACAATACAACCAGTAAGGACTAAGAACAGCCGGCACTCGATCATCTGTGCCGTTAACTATTCATGCAGGCACTACTGAATTTCAAAACACAATTAATGGGACCGCAATTAATGTACATAGTCATAGATAGATTCTTTTATTTCTTCTAATATTTTTGAAAAGCTGAAGGATGATCAATTAATCTGTATTGGCAACAAATAACTGTTTGTACTTATTGAACTTTATACATTTTGTAATTCTTCACAGGTACAATGCTATATGCCCTAGAGTCACATATAACACCTTTCTTACAATGATCTTAGGTAACTGTTAACTTTGGCTGTTTTTCTTAAATCAGAGATAATATTATCTGACACTTTGATAAATGAAGTGACATCAATAACTGAACCTTATGTGAAAAATGAGATGATGGAGTTTAACACCTTTTTTCTCCCCAATATAAATGAATGGTAACATGTCAGTTACAGAGTATAATAAACAAGAGAAAAGACTGTTCACTTTTCAGTCTGTCTATTATTATAAGCAGCAAATTGCGTGTAATAAGCTGTTTTTCTAAATATTTCTTCTATTTAAAAGTTATTTGATGTCAAGTGACTTCCTGTTTTACAATCAGAGAATATGTAGGAATCAATAACAGGCAATTCTGAAATGGTCATTCATTCTCAATGTGCCTGACAAAATTTAACCTTTACTGGGGGTGCCCTTCTGTATATATTATATTAGGCAAAAACAGACACCGAGTAGAACCTTGTTCAACGACTCTTTCGCAGCTCAAATCTACATGGATGAGAGGCAAGTGGTTTTAAAGTCAACAATCTTAACCACTCTTCCAAGGACACCCCTGATGTCCAGACTCAGAGATGGGTTAGTCCATTTAATACATTTATCATTGGTAAGTAAGACAGAAGGGTTTGCAATAAGCAAGTTACTCAATCTTTACATATTATCATTTCTCTTCTTCATAAAATTTAAGAAATGCCAAAACTATAAATACAGGACATTGTATCATAGTTTGGGGACCTTTCTGTTGAAAATGTGTCAGAGTTAAATCGTATATATACATAATAATAATATATATTATGCACAGAGCCTTAACTGGTGTACAGGTATATTAATTACCCGCACTCCAGAGCATGCCCGTTGATTTGCTCATTTTTGCTGGGGTTTACTTATTGTGACGGCAGAGAAAGGGAAAGTGATAGAAATATCATATTCAGATGCTCGTTCATTGGTTACTTTTTTCTGGGGATTCATATTGTGACAACAGGGAACATATTTTTATGTTTGACTATGATACAAAAGAGAAAGAACATCAAAACACTCATCAATCTGATTTATACTCAGGGGCTATGCCCCCTTGTACAAATCCGATCTCTAAGCCTCGTGTTTCAATGCTCTTTCTATTACTTATATATCCTCTATCATTACTGAGTATCCAGTTAACATACATGTGAACCCTCCCACTTTCAGCGGGAGACTCCCACTTTCTGCAGCTATATTTTCAAAGATTTTTCTTAAAATAAGGGGTATTTTCCCAAAATAAAGAAATCTTCCTCTTTTTGATGTCAGAACGTTCTTCTTTGTTTTTTGCAAATTCTAAAATCTCCCTCTTTTTGAAGAAAAATCTCCCACTTGATCATTGAAAAAAGTTCACATGTATGAGTAAAATAGAAAAAATACAACTCTATGAGAAAAAGCGACTTTTAAAAGAATTTTTTTAAACTATCAGTGCTTTGAGACTTCAAATGCTCATTTCAATTTTGACCTATTAATGCCAATTATTTCATAGATTTACATCCTGCTTAAATAAGTTATCTTTTAGGATAAAAACTTATATCCTGGTAATTTATTTAACATACTTAATTGAGGTGCAACCTTTGTTTGATGTATTAATATTGTAAAGTACATATCCTGTTTCGCTTTCATTTTTAGTTTTCTTATAATAAACACTCCCCCAAAAGTACAATTTTTTGTTCAATTGTGTTTCATTTTTTTATAAAAACAGAATTGCTTAGATTTAGATAATGAACAGCGAATGAAATAAAATATGGTCACAATTATAACAGATTTATGCTAAATAAAAGAAATTAAAATTTATCTGAACATCTTCAAGTGTATGACGGTTTTGAAAGGTTTAATTTAGTTTTACTGTAATCTGTTAAGCAACTAAAATGTCACACCCACACTAGGTGCTCAAATAAGGAAATATATGGTAATCTATATTAAGATTTGCAAATATTTCATGCTATTTGGAGCAGAAAAGTAAATAAATGGCAAGACTTGCTTGAAGATAACATTCTCACTGTTTGCTGAGTGGGTGTAAAAACTGATAATGTGCATTTCCTATATAAATAACTCTGCTATCATGTTACATTAGTAAAATGTTTAAACAATTTTATAATAGGGATTCTAAATTGGGAAATAATTGCTAATTGAATTTGAATAATGCATACATGTGCTGTAAACTATAATATTAATAAATTTAATAAATCTAGCTAATGGCAAAATATATCAGCGGGTCAATGGATAAGAGTAGGATAAGATCATATTGTTCATTAATTCAGGATGGTTAAATTCTCCTAGATATCTCTCTTAAAAGTTAAATGATAATTATTTACATTTTGAAATTCATCAAGGACTGAGACTGATATTACAATGTAAAACCTTCTAAAATTTATTGACTGATTAAGGTACATGTTTTTCGTTAATTATTTCACTCCTACGCTCAGCACTTCCTTTAAGTTAATATAATATTTTAACAACCAGCAAAGAAAATGTGGTATTTGATATTAAAAAACATTAATGTTAACAATTTAAGTTTTTGTTAAAATGCTAGTGTTGATAAAAGCTTGAATTCACTGCCAATACAGCAAGCCAGGTTGAACATAGATCTACAAATAAGGTTTTTAAGGCCTTAAATAAATTTAACAGTAAGTGAGATGCTTAATAAGCCCTAAACACTGTCAGAAGTTTTTTGAACTTTCTCTCTCTAATTGGGCAGAGGGCTTCAGTCTCTTGATTTTAGGAAGAATTATTGCTAAATTTGCTGATTTAGGAAAGTAAAAAGCTGGTGTACATGTATGTTTAGATTTTGGGGAAAAAACTGCATGATTTTAAAAGAAATTTCTCTTGGGAAGCAGCCTTTTAAATGTAAGTTATAGGCATCTACTGTGTCAGGTGAAACATCTCTGACTGTACTGTTCATTAAAAATTTGTTTCCTTTCAGTTCTCTATCAACTTTATAAAAACTTTTTATGATCAATGTTGAAATTTCATATTCATATTCAAGGGTTTTCAGGACTTTTCAGTTAATTCTTGAGGGTCTTTCAAGGGTTTTAAAAGCAAAATGACATCAATTTCAAGGGTTTTTCAAGACCTTAAAAAAACTTTTGAATTAAGATTTCACAATTCTGATTTTACAACCTAAAATTTCTGTATTGCGCTAGGTCCTTTTTCAAAAATGGCTAGGAAAAGGCCTTATAATTTTTTAAGTTAATAAATTTATGTTAACATGTTAACATCCAATAAAAATGTAAATATATGTAGAACAAGTTGAACAACCACACATTGAAAGTAAATATATGTAAATATTTCATACTTACTAAAGAGAAGACCATGGACAAGGAGTTTGCCAATGAATAGTCCAACAATAAGTCCAGTTAACCAGAATACAACCTTTAACAAACTCCATGCATTGGGCGGATATCTTGTGCAAACCATTGCAAAATCATTCCCAATCATTGGAATAAGGCACTCCTTTCTGCTGTGAGCCACTGGGTCCTCTGCGTAAATGAGAAAGTTACAAAACACTACAAAATATGAGATGAACAAGCGACAATAAGGATGCTGGAAATAGTAACGAAAGTCTTTCTCCATGAACAGAGAGTATGTACTTGCTGCATCAACATCATCTTTACCAGCAACAAGGACAACTATATCATCATCTAGTTTCTTCTCAGGTCTCTCATCCTTAGTCTCGTCTTTTTTAATTTCAGCATCATCCTTAGGCATGTTATTATTTTCCACTTTTATGTCATCGTTATTATTGGCAGCACCATCTTCAGTATTTTCGGCAGACTCGTCAATTAAATCACTAGTAGTTCTATCATTAACTAAAGAGTTCCTGTTTTTAGCATCTTCTTTGTCATCTTCTGCCACATCCAATTCTTCTGCTTCATTTCTATTTTTGCTGTTCTTTGCTTCTGTAAGCGGGTCAAGATTTTCTGTGTTATCTTGTGGTTCTTCCATATCTTTAACAATTTCGTACCTTGGACTGCTTGGATCCATTGTCAGACCCTGTACCTGTATCATAACTGGGCCACCTCCATTTTTGTTTTTGGAAACTTGTCGTCTCTGCAATGATGAAAAATATATAAATTATTATTACTATCTCACAACAACTCAAGTTTATATCAGCATATATTGCTACAACAACTGGAGATATTGCTGTATATACAACAACTGAAGATATTGCTGTATATGCAACAACTGAAGATATTGCTGTATATGCAACAACTGAAGATATTGCTGTATATGCAACAACTGAAGATATTGCTGTATATGCAACAACTGAAGATATTGCTGTGCAACTATTGAAGATATTGATGTATATGCAACAACTAAAGTTTATACAGCATATATTGCCCTATATATCTATGCTTAATGATGTGTAACAAGTTTGTGATATAAATTTCTAGAGGTATTCTATTTAAACGCCCATAAATGATGTATATGCTCTCCCCTATAGTTTAATTATTCCCGGGGCCGAGGTTAAACAAACCTAAAAACTCACACAATTTCAAATTCTCAATGAGACAGTGACTTGTGTAAAACCTAGATTTAGTGCACCACCCATCAACAGACACAATAAACTTGCAAAACAGTTACTTACAATGTAGCTATCCACACACAAATATTGAATCGATTATCCTATATCAAATGAGCATAAAATCCTGTAAAACCTTTCAGATTTTATCACGTGTCAAATATGTGCATTTCCCGATTTTCACGAGTCAAAACCCGGATCCCGGTGTCAATCGAGAGCCCTGATATCAGTATTCTGATAAACCACAAAAAATCCAGACTTGATATTGAACTTTTAGAGTATCTGAGTATTTATATACACCTGTGTATGACCTATAAATCTGTGTTTACAATTTTAACCTTACTGGCAGTAGATGTCATGAAATAGCTTACTGTGAGTGTCGCGAAATAGCTCACTGTTTTAAACATAACTACATAAATGGATATGTACTATATGTTCATTGTTTGGGAGTAAGGCACTTAAGCTAGAATTATATTCTTTCATTTTTAGTCACAAAAAGTTTACATGTACACAATGTATTTCAAGTTAAAGCTACAGATCATCTACAGTTTCAAATGTAAAACCTAAATGTTTATTATTTGTGTTTATGACAAGATAAATTGTCTACATTGCAGTAGGTGAATAAGTTTTCATATTTCAATACAGACAGTCAAGAATGACAATATTTAACCTAAAATATCTCCTTACCATTCTCTCTTTCATAATAAAGAAATTGGAAAATAAATGCTTAGAATACAATAACATTGGAGAATTTTAATGTGGAGATAAACAATTTTATTTATTTACCTTTTTCTATTTTAAGATGGGTTTTAAGTGACACTAACATTGTCAATTACACATGTCAACTTTCCATGGTGCAGGAGGACCTCACATTATTTCAGATAAAAGCGGAGGCACCATTAAAATATGTTATAAGTATTTTCCGTGTCAGATGATAGATGGATGGCAAATTTACAGAAATTCAAAGACATCTGATTCCCCTTTAAGAGTTATTTTTGGCATAAGCAAGCATAGTGCTGGAAAGCTGTCTCAGTTAAAAGAATCAAATCCACAGAGGTAAGTTGTTTAAGTGATTCAATGTCAGTGGCCATTATGACCACAGTAAAATGATTTAATCAGGAGCTAAAAATTGAAGATACACAGACATTATCTAAGTTACTTATTATTGTGAATAAAACATTAGTTTATTCAATAACTTATTGTTATAAAAGGATTAACAATTTAAAACTGACTGACATGACCCCAAAATAGTTAAAGGCAGAATTACCGAGAACAGAGAAATGTTTGACAAGGAATTAAGGAAATATCAATTCAGGACTTTTTTTAACAGTTTGGGGAAGCAGCCCAGCCCTTAATTTTGGGGAAAAATTACACGGTATATTTGCAAAAGGGGAAGAAAAAAACTTGATGTAAATTCAATTTTTGTGGAAAACTGCATGATTTTAAAGGAAAGCAGCCCTATACCGGCCCCTGTTAAAGAAGGTAAAAAGGCCCTGAAATTGTATTCAAGTTAACTGTAATGCATGTACATAACTAACATTTGACAAACTGGATCAAAGAGGGCGACATGATTATCATCTCTTAGTACTTCAGTAAAATGATCATCAGTCTATCTTACAATCAATAAAATTTTTTTTCATTTATATCAAAATAGTTCCCTGAATGTTAAGCAATCAAGAACAAATGATCCAAACATAAGATATATACAGTATCTTGGATCATGAAAAACAGTTAACATTCATGCTAAACAAAACTCTACATTGATCAGTGATCAATGCTGATTTACATAATCATAATAAAGACTAAAATATCTTTAGCTTCACGTCTAGCCTGGGGTGCATTCATTTCAATGCTGTCATAACCTGTTCAGTGGTCTGTTTGTTCAAGCATTTAGAACAGTAGTATACAGAACCCTCTGTCATCACTAATTAATAATACACAGCTATACTAATCTACATATACCTAGATTACTCAATTAGATTAGGATGTGCACAAACAGAGCATGACTGACACACATAGTAACATAAAATTTTACATACACTTTAAGATTATGATCCACATTGTTATTTTATCTACTTTCATACATTCACTTATATTAAACCACTTCCTTATAACAGGGTCTTTCAAATTTCTATTTGAAAGACCCTGCTTATAATCATCTGTTTATTACTAAATATTGCAAATCATAATTTACATTATAAACTAAGAGAAATACCTTATGTCCAGATTATCTGTTCATATAAGCTAACACTGTTTTGATAACATTAAACAAAAGTGCGCACTGTTCATAACTTATAAACATCCAGACTGACGAAAGTAAAACGATAAATGACCAAAACACCGTGTATCAGAAAAATCCACTCACCAGTGACAGCCGTTTTTCATCTTGTTTGTTTCCGTCATTTTTCGCTCCCGTCTGTACTTCACTTATTGGATGTGCATCATCAGACATCCTCATAAATATTTATGAGCACAAATTTATCCAATAGTCGTTGATTTTACCGTCACGGTCTTAATGATCTATTTATTATCTATTTTCCACTCCTAAGTATCCATGTTTTTTGTTTATATCACTGGTCGGCTTGATTGGTCATAAATTATAACGTCAAGAAATCAGAATATATTCATATTAACTCGATTAAATAATATAGGAAGGAAACGATATTTGGTTATTTCACAGAAACTTGAAATTTATTACATGCTTTTCGGTGGTTTATAGAAATATATCAGTGAGTTATAAACTGGTAATTTCACTGTTTGAAACAGTGAAATTATCAATTTGATAATCTTCACTGTTTTGAATTTAAGCCCGTTTAGTTGATTCAGTTAAATACCAGCGTATAACCAACTTAATGACGTGACGTCGTAAATGACGTCACGTTTTATTATCATTTGGCGCGCTTTTCATTAAGTTCTAAGTTAAAACGTCTTTTTAAAAGTTTCTTTGCACATAATAAAAAGAAAATTTGTTTAGTTTAGTGTAAGATCGGAATTTATTTCACCGAGTGAGCACCAAAAGTTATATTTCACGAGTGGCATAGCCACATAGAACTAAACAAATATCATCTATTTAATCAATACATCACAAAATATACGTATGAAAAAACACTGTTTTTATATAGAGATAAGGGCTATATCACTAACATACGTATATTTTGTGATGTATTGATTAAATTTTTATATTATATAATATTTACAGTAGTCTTAACCATGTTAACATAGGATAGGAAAAGCGAATTCGTACATAGTACGAGATCAACTTTCTATAAAATAGATGATTTATGTGAGAAATATTTCCACTATGACATAGTAACTCGGACACATAGGTTCAAACCAGTGACCAGTTACCATGGACTGTCATTAATAATTTAGGGCCTACTGTACAGCATGGAAGTGAACTGAAATGGTTCCTTTCTGAAACAAACAATATGAAGTATAGTATCTCGTTATAGGAAATGGTGTGAGAGAAAGTAAAAACCTGAAAATGAACATTATCAGGACAGTGAGAGACATTCATATCATTAAAAATGTTTTGATTAGTAAGAGTGAAAGAAAGATTAAAAGTAAAAACAAAACAATTGAATTTATACTGTATTTTTTAAAACCGCCGCCTGTTTGAATTGGTCAAGATCAATATCAAGACAGGGTAACAATGTTACTAGGAAGCTGGTTCCAGAGTGTGGTGGGGGGGGGGGGGGGGGTGGACGAGAACTTATATAGACTAGTTGTCTGATGTAACTTGTGTTTGCCTAAGAGAGAGGGGTGCATATGTCTAATAAGCCTATATGGAGTTTTAATGTAGTTAGGAAGGCTAGTGGCAACTATACATGTATTGTAAATTTTGAAAAACATAATAAGCCTAAAGTCTAATCTTCGATGCTCAAGAAAACGCCAGCCAAGATCTTCATGCATGGTTGAAGTGATGGCAATGAGGAATATGCGTGTGTCACTCATTGATCTCGCCTTTTTGATCATCTTTCAGGCCTCGACATTAGCGGTGGTCCATTGGTCCGAGACCACCTGATTTTTTCAAGGACCACCTAATTTTACAGGCAACTGGTCCGTTAGACCACTTGAATTTTCCAAATGGTGCAGGGCTCATCTAGGAGAATGGTTATTTGGTCGAAAAACGTGTTCTATAATTGTCGTTTTAAATCATTTCTCCGATGTACAGGTATATGTACATTCATCTCATAAGTTCAAAAAGATCTTACGACATCCATAACCTTTTATTAACTCGCTAACAGTGTAGTTAAAAAAGTAGAAAATTATTTTAATAATTATAGTATAGAATTCATTCAAATGTCTCTTGTACTGCATTGAATTTATAACATTGTATCACTATGGGATAATGGATAAACACATGAATAATGGTGCAAACAAAGGCAAAGGAAAAATTAAATATCTAGTAATCTTTGGCTACTTTTTTAAACGATCAGAGATCCATTTTTTCTTATTTAAAGTACTTTAAAAGGTTATAAATACTTTGTCAAAAATAAATAAATTTCAACAAACAAGCATGTATAATAAATCTGTGAGGAAGATAAGCTCAATTATAATGTAGGAATTTTTCTGGTTATCAATAATATTTCATTGTTTCAAAGACAAGAAAATAATAACTTAATAGTTTAATTAAAAATGTTAATCTATAAAAAGCAAGTATTATTCTTATAAGTCGTACCAGGAAACAGCAATGAGTATTTGAATAACAGTAAGGAAATAAGTCATACACAGATGGTTTCACTATTCATTAACTTGAGCTGCGGAAGAAGTCACTTAACCGAAGTATGAGTACTGTCATGTATTTTTCAATGAGATAATAAATACTTAATAGGAATAACAATGACTTACTATCTGATCTAAAATTGAGATAGAAAATATACATGTTTTCTTCAGTTGTTATAAATCTAATAATAAATATGTCTCGGTTTCTCGGATTCTAAATCGGGAGTTTCCTTAAAAACAAATGAGTAAAAAAAAAGATGGACCACCTTTGTTCAGAAAGGACCACCTGAATTTTGGATCCAGTGATCCGGCATACCACCTGCTGAAAAAGTTAGTGTCGAGACCTGTCTTTATGTTTGACTGTGTATGGGGACTCCAAACAATTGATGCATTCTTACTTGGGATTAATATGCTAGTTGTTTTACTTTTTTGTATTCATATTCCGTTTGATGAATCCTAGGGTTTTGCTTGAATTTGATGCAATTTTTTAGATGTGTATACTGTAGTTTAAGTTTGCGGACATGTTCAAGTCAAGATATTTTGAGTTTGGAACTGCTGTAAAAGCTTGGCCATGGAGGAAGTACTTAAGTGTTGTTGATGACTTTTTTGTTTTTGTGATGTGAAGGACTTGACATTTTGAGGGGTTCAATTCCATGTCCCACTCGCTTTAATTAAACAGATTTGCATCTTATTAAGATCCTGTAGGGATTGTGATCTGAGGAAGAGCTTATAGTGTTGTAGATCATAGTGTCATCTGCAAAGAGGCAAATTTGAAACTTGGAGACAGAAGATGGAAGGTCAATAATAAAGACCAGAAAGCAGAGTAGTCAAAGGGCAGAGCCTTGGGGGACGCCAGAATCTACAGGGACTTCTATAGAGTGTTAATCACCAGTTACGACAGTTTGGCTCCGACCTAACAGGAAGGAACGTTTTGTATAGAGACAAGGAATAATTTACGGCCTTAAACGCCTGGATCCATGCTGCTCGCAAACCCACGATGTTGGTTTTGTTCGCTATCAGTTTCTCTACTTGTAATAGGGTTTGTAAGCGAACAGCATGAATCCTGATCAGACTGCGCGGATGCGCAGGCTGGTCTGGATCCATGCTGGTCGCAAACCCATTATGTTGGTTTTGTCATGATATAAATATATTTGAGAACTTTAAAGGTGACATCACAACAGAAATGTGAACTGAATTCATCAGCCGGTATATATCGAGTAGTTTCTTGACTGCGTAAATATATTTACATATAAAGGCTATCTCCCAGTTTCACCTAGAATAGCATCATTCCCAGAATTTATGTGAACACCAAGTATGTATTTTAAAGCTTTTATATGCAGTTTGTTACAATACAACTTTCTGAAAGAGTTTTCAATGACATAATCATCTTTTCTTAACAATACATGAAATATGAAAACAAACATCAACAAGGAAGGTGGTATTTAATGAACACAGGAGTTAATAATATTCACATTACCTATTTCACATGCAGGTTTAAGTGTAAGAACAAACAGTTAAAAAAATAAAAAAAATGTTTGCAGGAGTGAAAGTAAGATTGATAAAATCGACAATCCCTTACTAATCAATTTCGTTGATAGCATTATGCAGAAAACGACGGCTTCAGGGTTAATCTTCTGCCTTGGACACTTTCTATTTTCATGTTATCGGAGTATTGATTTTCAGAATGTTAATTTTTAATCTGCAAGAATCACACCCCTTGCACTTCGCGTAAATTTTAACTAGATGAGAAAATTTGTTTTCGAAACAAACTCTTAATATGAAAAAGTCAGTACAAACACGGAAAACGATTAATTCGCTCAAAAATAAATTACTTATTATTTCCACAAAAAAGAAAGAAAAAAAGTGATACTAAAACACAAACTTAATCGAAAGGCCTCGGCGATTATTCACAAATCAGCTTATCCGACAACTGGCTGAAAGGGCTGAATTGTTGCGAATGATGACACGAACTTCTTACAAAACACTTTACACATCGAGTCGAATGTCCACGAATGGAAGTTTTCACGATATTCAATATAAAAATAAACTCTCCGACAATGCATCGAATAAGATGAACATTACTGTTAATGAAAATCGCAAGGTATAGATAACATTCCTACGGAACAGAATTTTATCGAAATTTCATATAGCTCAAATAGAATCTCTAAATAAATAACACTTCTTATTCACAAAAAATAAGCTGCCTATCTTTGATTTACAAAAGGGGACCAATATCATTATTAGAGAAATATCGAGCTATCTCATTATTATTTGCAACTCACAGTCTTGCCATAAAATAGCAACTTAACATAATATATTACATATTATAATGTGCTTGGAATAACATTATATGTAGATATAACATATATGCCATACAAAACATAAAGGGATATAACATACGTGTGATGTAAAACAATAAAAAAAAATATAAAAAAAATAGATAAATAGATGGTGCAACAATGTTTTTTATTAAAAAAGCTGAGATGTCCTGAAACAACTTGACTTTTACAAACTTTATAAAGTGGATTATGACAGAAAAAAATCTTGTGTTTTTTACAATGCACACACTACAAACATCGATGCCCATAATATCTTATCTTGTTTATCTTTGCTGCTGAAAATATTGCTGGCCAGTTTAATAAGAAACTCAAATAGTATTGACTGCATGAAAAACGATCCTTTTTTTTTATTTATTTAAGAAAAAAAAAACAGAATAGATTGGAGATTAAACGAAATGTTCAAGTTATAAAATCTTATTGATACCTTTGTCTCGTTACATGTTATATTCCCATAGTTGTGCACAAGAAATTATTTTTAAATTATTATGGGACAATGAACAAGAAAAAGTTAAACGTGCAGCTTTAATTGACAATAAATCACATGCAGAAATA